AAAAGCTTTCCGTGCTTAAGCAAGCAAGCAAACGTAACCCTGGGTTTATAGAGCCCACGTGAGGGGCAGAGGATGTTTAATGGGAAGCAGTTGGGTGCTGCGACCGCGGCAGAGCCCCAGGCTCTGGTTGCGAAGCAGATCCTGGAGGAGCCAGCGTCCCTTGCTGTTTATTTTGGTCTCCTCCCCAGCTCTGTGCATAGAGGCTTCCTTGTGTAAAGCATCCCCTTGACTGCAACTTGGAGTATTCTGTTTAAAAAGGGAAGAAAGGGGGAGCAGATGTTCCCTTGTTGACCCATCCTGAGTCTCACAGGGTGCCCAGAGCCAAGTTGCAGAGCAGGATGAGCTGTGGTGGTGCCGTGTACCCCTGGTGCTTCCCACGGGGAGATGTGGAGCCCTTGGGCAGGAGTCAGAGCCCTTCATGACATCTGGGCACCCTTGGCTTGGCTGGAACCCCCAGGGACGGACTCATCGTCTGGGAGAAGAGCGTGTAGATACACGGCCCCGGCTGTGCCACACGCTTGTGACTTCTCTGGAAAAATCTTGGCTATTGTATGAGCTACTGGGATTTGAACCAGACCTCTGCCCCCTCTTCCCCATTTGCGAGATCCCTAAAGAGCAGCTTTAACTGGTGGTGTGTGACCTGCTGCTGCCTGGCCATGGGGTGACCGGGAGGACGCAGCGGCGGAGCAGATGTCCCTAGCGCCACAGCACAAAATACAGAGACACAGAGATATTTTGATGCTTCTCCGGCCTTGTGCTTGCTTTGGGGAGCATTCGAGCTGGCGATGAAGACATGTGTTTCTTGCCCCAAAATGCCTGCCTGGCAGGGACCACTTTTGGGTCAACACTGTGGGTTTACAGGAGCTGCTGCCTCAAAAATCTCACACCTTGTCCATCTGCCAGGGGTTGCATCAGAAAGGAAGTACTTGGAAATGTTGTTTTAGGGGATTTTGGGCTTTCCCTGCTGTGGGAGTGAAGCTGATGCAATCAGTGATGGCAGATTGAGCTGGAGCTGCCTGAATTGGTGTGGAATTGGTTAAAAGGAAGCGTGTGTGGATGGTAACACCAGTTTGTGCTCCCGCCCCATGCACAGGCACTTCCAGAGGAAGAGGAGGAAGGGCGATGCTCGGCACCTCTGCCTCTTCCCTGCCAACTGCCTCCACAGTGGCCAGCAATCGGATGCTGCTGGTGGGGCTGGGGAAGCCCTGCTAGCACCAAAAATTCCCTGGAAAACACAGTGGGAATCACCCTGCAGTGTGGCTGTCCCAGACCCTGCTTGGGACAGGGCCACCCTGACCCCCAGGGTGTTGGGGTCATGTGGACCTGGAGCCCCCCAGGGACCTGCAGCATTGAACATTGCTGCCAGCATGGGACCCCAGCACCATGAGAGGCATACCGGGGTGCAGGGTCCACAGCACTGCCCTGCCTCCAGCTCTGGTTGTTGTAAGGAATACGGCAGCTTCCCTGCAGGAAGCCGGGAGGAGGGTCAGCTGGAGCAGAGGCTGTTTACTTTCCTTTCCTGGCTCTGGGCAGGACAGGCTATTTTTAAGCTTTTTTTCCTTTTTTTTTTGAGAGTTGTTTGCCTTCCTGAGGTCCTTTTCTCTGTGCAAGGAGGAGGAAAGAAGCGATGCTGAGCATGGAGCCACAGCTGTGCTCAGCCACGCTGAGGGCTGGCATCACTGCAGGAGGCATCCCTGAGGATCATGATCATGGCAATGGCTCTTGGAGGTGGAAACACAAACCCTGTGGGTCACAGTCCCTCTTCTTTCTTGTGTATGGGAAGTTTGACCTTCTCCAGGCCAAGCTGGACTTGACGCAGTGGCCAAATGTGCCAGCAGGATGAGCTGGGTACCAAAATCCCCGTGCGTCCAGAGACACAAGATGGAAATCCCATGCTGCAGGGAGCTACGAGTGGGAAAGCTCTTGGGTTGTCCCCAGGCAAATCAGTGACACCCCTGGGGAAAGAATGCTACTGGGAACTGGGGGTCCTTGTGATTTTGCTGTAAGAAACTGTGCTGAGCCATTTCCAACCCTGCCTTGGGGTGTTGGTTCCTTGCCCAGCCTCTCGGTACCCTCTTACTGCCCACTGGGGCTACAGTGCTGGCATGGGAGGCGTTATTTGGATGGCCTGAGTCTCCAAAGTGTAGTTTTGCAGCTCTCCTTTAAGCTTTTTGAACCCCTTTGTATCTCAGGTTTGACTTTTTTTTTCTTTTCACAGTAGGGCCAAGACAGCCCTGGAGAAAAGCTGGTTTGGGGTGCTGTATTCAGTCCAGCCCTTCAATAATAGCAGGGGATGGTGGTGCTGGTGGCATTGGGCAGGTTTGTCCCTGGCTTGGGGCACTTTGAGAAGTTTGAGGGCAAAATAAAGGGCCATGTAAGGCAGTTCCAGCATTGCCGTCGAGTGACCCACCACCTGGTCACTGGTGCCATCATGTCTTTTGGCAGTAGCAGGGGGACACAGAGGAGCAGAGATGATGGAGGTGGTTTGTACAATGAACCCTGGAGGTCAGCAGGGCTGTTTGTACCCACAGCTTGTTATTGGGTCAGAAAGAAATCCTTAAACCACTTGGTTTGAGAAATTTCCAGGGCAATGGTCATTAAGGAGAGATGCTTGCCAGCGTTTCCTTTGCTATCAGGTTCCTCAAGAGCATTTGCTTTCAGAGCGTTCCTCCAGACACATCTGTGATGGGGTTATTGGGCTGTGTTGTTGAATAAAGTGGGGCTGAGCTGGCTGGAGGAGTGACGAGCAGGTTTTAAAAGCCTGACATGGACAAAACTGAGCTCCCACCCATCAGGGAGCAGGCGGCGTGGCCAGGCTGTCCTCCACTGCTCTCCCCTGCCTGGCTTTGCTCGAGACCAGGGAAAGGCTCCCCATCGGGTTGTCCCTTCCGCTCCCTTTGTTTTCCTGTGAGATGCAAACAGGGCTTGGCTGATGCATTGTTTTAAACTTAGGATTTGGGTGAAGGAGTAGCTAAAATGTTATTTTCTGCTTTAAGAGTGTGATGGAGAAGGAAAACGATAGAAAGCTCTTTGCTAGAGTCTGAGCTCCAGCTCAGTTTTGGAGATCTGAGAGTTAAGGATGCCTCAAGTGTGGAAATTTGGGTTTTGATTCATTGTTGCTGGGGTGCTGAGAACTGAGTCTTAGACACAGCCGCAGCACACAGGTTGTGCCGAGCACAGACCACAGGGCAGGGATTGCCACAGAGAGCATCTCGAGGCTGGGTGGATGACGCAGGATTCAGAAAACAGAGATGATAAAATGAAAGAAAACATATTTTCTTTTTCTCTACTGGCTGCCTCCCTCCTTCTACCAATGTCTGAATATTTTTGAGATGCAGGACAGACCATTTTGTCACTAAGTGCCCCGCATGGGGCCCATCCTGGGTTTTACGTGGTGGATGTTACGTGTTGTGCCTCGATGCTTTCCTCCCTTGGCCGCCATAAAGCAGCTGCGGTGCCGTTTCCATCCGGTGAATACTGAGGGTGAATCACCTCTGCCCACGCCAGCCAGGACCTCGCACCCATTGCTTCTGGGGCGCCAGGGTCTGAACCACAACTGGGGCAGGTGGGTATGTGTCTGTGCCCACATCTGTCTGTCCGTCCAATATTCCTGGGAGGGGTTTTCCTGGGTCACTGATACGGAGCGTCCTGAGGGTCCTGGTCCCAGTCTCAGCAGTGCCCGTTCTGGCTGGTTTTGCAGCCTGGTGTTCATATTTAACAGTTTTTGGGTATACCCCCAAATAAGGAAGGCTGTGCTTCAGTCTTTCCCTCTGCTCCTGGCATCCAGTGTGATCTCAAGCTCAGGTTTTTAAAGGCTAAATCTCACCGATATCACCCTGTTGATGTAAAGGATGGGTGGACTCATTACTGATGCTTATTCTGGTTTTTAGCAGCATGACTGTCATCACACTGAAGTTGTCCCTATGATAGTTTGGCTTTGTTTCAGGAGACTGCTTTGGGACCCTAGGGCTGTGCCTCATTCTGCCCTGACCTTGTGTCTGCCTGGGTGCTCGGGACCACAGGCAGCCTGTGGTGTTTGGATGGGGGCACATGCAGTTCGTTGTGTTTGGATGGGATCTGGCAGTGGTTTTCTGCATTTTCCCCCTCTTCCCATGAAGTTCAGCCTTTGGTTTTCACCTGGCTGGCTCCTGCATGGAACAGGGACTTTGTCAGAGCTCAGGGCATCTACTGCTTTAGCGGGGCCTGTCTGGAGCTGGGTGGGAAGGGCTATGTGGGGGACATGGGGTTGTCCAGGCATGAGCCAGGCCATGATCAGGCAGCTGCTGGCCCTCCAGTGTGTGGCTGGGTAGTGAGCATCACTCCACAGATAGAGGCTTCCTTCAGCGGTGCTTTGTGTCCCCAAGCTGAGTGTCTGACACCAGTGTCCGTCAGGTTTCCTCGACATGCTCCTGGCTCAGTGAGTGTTGGAGTTTCATTTTCATGCAACCTGCCCAGCCTTCAGTCTTTGACTCGAGTGATCTCTAAGATTGTTTTCAAGGAGAGATCCTGTGGTTGCCACCTTTGCTTTTGTTGCTGTATTTCTATGGATTTGATGCTCTCCTGGGAGCGTTTTCATGTTCCTGAGCTGGATTTTGCTGGCAGTGCTCACCAGGAAGCCTGTGTTTATCCATGCATCCTTTGGATATAAAGGGGAAGGGGAGGTGTTGCTGGCTGCCCCAAGTTCTGTGCTGTGCTCTGCTCTGCTGTGGGGCTCTCTACTCCCCTCCCAGAACATATTGGGTGCAGGCAGGATGGAGGGCAGCATGGGGATGATTTCGACTCGGGGGATTAATTTCCTGCCTCTGGCTCCAGTTTGGTTACTGGTTTTGTAACTTGTCTGAAGAGTCAAAGCCTCATCCTAGTTCCCCATCTGTGTTAAACGGGGTTATGGACCCTCAGGTGGAAGAGCAGGAGTGGGCTTGTGAGCCTCAAGCATTGCCTATAAGCATCTCTTGAGATGCTCAGGTGGATGGTGACTAAATCTGAACTGCTTTTCATGTTTTTCAGCTCTGAAAAGATCTTTTGAGGTTGAGGAGGTAGATCAGTCTTCAAATTCCTCCACCCCACAAAGACGGACCCCGAACACCCTCCTCAGGTCCACCGTGTCCAGCTCCACACAGAAGTTTCAGGAACTTGGTGCCAGGAATTCAGAGCCATCTGCCCGACATGTGGACCCCACAGCCCAAAGATCACCCAAGCCCTCTCTGAGGAGAGTGGAGCTCGCTGGACCCAAACTGCCTGAGCCGATGTCCAGAAGAACAGAAATCTCCATTGACATCTCTTCCAAGCAGGTGGAGAACTCCACCTCAGGGTTGTCGAGATTTGGCCTCAAAAGAGCAGATGTTCTGGGGCACAAACCCCCCGAGCCCACCCCAAGGAGGACTGAGATCACCCTCGGCAAGCCCCAGGAGCCAGGTCTCCGGAGGGTGGAAGCGCCAGCATCAAAGATCCCTGAGATGTCCCAGCGAAGAGCTGAGACGGCCAGTGCTCCCGTGCCCGACATGGCCACCAAGCGCGTGGAAATTCAGGTAGCGAAGACTGCCGAGGTCCCAGCCCTGCCAGCGCGGCATGCGGAGAGTTCAGAGCCTCCTCTGGCCACCCAGCCCCCTCAGGCAGAGCCAAAGCTGCAGCCGGTACTGATGGAGACCCCACCAAAGAGAGAAGGTGAGTACAGCTCCGGGCAACTGCTTGGGTGATACCTGCCTTCATCCCTTGCTGCGGGCTCAGAGCCTGTGTGGGGATGTCGAGCGTTGTGTGCTTCTCTTTTGGCTCTGGTGGGGATGCCTTCTGAGGCTTGTCTAGGATCTGTGCTGAGATGTGTCTGCGTATGTGGCTGTTATCCTTGGGTTTATCTTGGCTGAAAGAGCTGCCAGTTTGAATAAAAAACACTATCAAGCCTATAAGGAAATGAAAAAAGAAAATGCCAAAAGCCTGGGTGCCTGCAGAAAATGACGCTTCTGCCAGCTCAGGCTCTGTGTGCAGACCCGCCCGCCTGTGCAGCATTAAGAAAAGCCCCTGAGGTGCTGGGGAGGTGCGGGTTGTGGAAGTGTTGTTGTGATGGGTTCTTGTTTAGTGTTGTTTAGTGTTGTTGCTCATGGTTGTGGGGCAGAAACCGCCTCTTCATTAGCAGGAGTCAGGGGTTTTTTGGCCTTGGAGCCAAAGTCTAATAACGTCATGGACCAGAGCCACTATTAAACTGGAGCTCTGGCTTATATTAGCTCTATCTTGTTTTCAATTAATCCCAAATTAAAGCCAGCTTCCCTCCCCCGCAAGCCGTCATTTATTCCCCCTAATGTTTTGGAGATTTTTTTTTTTCTCTTCTGGCCTCTTAATTATTTTTCCGTTCCCCATCACCCACGAGCTCTCTCCTGTGAGGGATGCAGCAGGCGGGAGAACGCCACCACCTCCCCACCCCATCCTGTGCCTCTCCACAGGGGTTAGGGGTTGGCGTGCAGTGGACAAGCCAGGGCCTGGGAGGTCCATGCCTGGCCCTAGAGCTTGACCACGCACCCTTGTCTTGCTCCACCATGGGCTGGTCCCCTGCTTCTGCTCCATCTCCTCTTCCTGGGCAGGGCAATAATGGGGTTTGTGGAGAGGCTGGGTTTTGGCATCTGTGTATGGTCTACAATCAAATCAGGAGTCAGCGGTGGAGCTGATATCGGACCTGTAAGACTTGAGTTGTGTATGGCCTAGGTGCAGCTTTTCTGAGCTGGGTTTCAAAGTGTAGGCAGATGCCTCCAGCAGGTAGCAGGTCAATCCATCTCCAGCTAGGCATGGCTGAACTCTGAGACCCAGCCCAGTGATGAGGTTCAACCTGGGCATCCTTTGGGGGCTCTCTGTCCCCAGTCACTGTGTGTGTGGTGCCCAGAGGCCCATCATCTCCCATGGGTGAGTGCCCAGCCTCACCCTGCTGAGTTTATAGCTGCTCTGGGCTTCCTCTCAAGCTCTGAACTGTGGATGGTTGGGCACTTTAAGAGTGGGAGACCATCTGAGCTGCTGGATCCTCCAGCTGCCTGGGATGTGGGGGGGTAAAGAGAGGGTTCTTTCCATCAAAAAAGGTCTCAGGATTCCAGGACAGCTGCTAGGGATGAATTTTACCCAAGAGCCCAGCTGTCTGGGGTCTGCCTTGCAGAGCAAGCCAGCCATGGGTACTGGTACAAAAGGGGCTTTCAGTCCAAATGCCTCCAAGAAGAGCCAGGAGGCAAAGTAGAAGGGGTAGGGAGGCCCTGGCTCCTTCTTCTGCTGGGTCAGCACAGGCGTACAGCCCAGAGCCTGTGTCCCCGTCCTGCTCAGCTCCAGCCTCCTCCATCGCTGTGACTCGAGGTTGCCCTGGGCTGCCTTCATGCAGGACCCTGTTTCAGGGTGTTCCTCCCCGTGGTCCACAACACCCACCCCGGGATGCTGGGTGAGTGGATGACGTCTCTCCTTGTTGCTGATGTAAGCACGTGGAGGAGTTCTGGGGAGGCTGCATGGGGACCCTCAGGGAGCCCTGTGGATGAGTGCAGGCTCGGTCCCGACGATCCCCATCTCTGCTACGGTTCTGGCTCCACCACGACCCCTGAGTGAGAGCGTTGGCTTCCTGATGCCTGCAGCAGAGGCAACGCCCAGCGTGAAGTCCTCCCTCTTGCTGCTCCCAGGGTTTGAGGCACCCGAGAGATGCTCTAGTGGCACTGGATACCCCTCGATCCCATTGCTCGGCAGCTCTCCAGCGCAAACTGCTGAGCAGGGGACGCAGGCAGCTGCCTGCAGCTGCTCTCAGCCCTGTGCTGGAACTTGCCTTCCCCCAGCTGCTGCAGCGCAGCTGCCTTGCCCTTCACCCCTCATACCGCTGCCAAAGGCATGCAGGAGAGCGTGTTGTGCAGGAAGGGGCTGGTTGGAGGAGAAGGGCAGTCACTGAGAGCTCAGCAGTTCAGAGCAAACCACAAAGGAAAGGAGTAATTATAGCACTGAACTTCATTAGGGCAGTGTGGCTGGTGGCATGGGCTGAGCCTGCTCTGGAGCTGTGGTTCTCAAGGTGGGAGGAGGGCAGGAGGTGTCTTTGTGTCTTTGGCAGAAGAGCAAGAAATATCCCTCCCCATCCCTGCTCTCCCTCTCCAAGTCCTTCTCACACCCTGGGGAGCACTGGCTGCATTTCTGTGGGCTTAACATTGTGTTTGGCTGTTGGTGACAGGGAAATGGGACACGGATGCACATCACGGGTGTTATGTCCCACTGCACCAGCATCTTGGGCAAATCTGGACTTCTTATCCCCAAGGGGGCCAGTGCTTCTCAGCTGGGACAAAAAATGTGATGGAATGATGGGGTGATGTGGATTGCTGTAGTCAGGGTCGTCCAGAGAGCTCCTGCTGCCTTTGCCTGGCTGCTGGGTCCTGCTTCAGTCACCCTTGCTGGTGCTGCAGCTCACCCAGCCCCTGTCACCTCCTGCTTCAGACCCTCCTCTTCAGACCCTCTTCTTCCTCTCTGGTTTGTTCAGGAGCACTGGCTTCACCTGGATGTCCCCCACAGCCCTGGGCAGGGGGGCAGCCCCACCAGTCTCCTTTCCACCATGGCTGAGCGAGGCTGCCTGGGAGAGGGAAGGGGAATGGTTGTGGGAGGAAAAACTGCAGTGCTTAATTTGGAGATTTCCACTGGCCCTTCACAAAGGAGGGATCCCAAGCTGGATGCAGGACAGGAGAATCATTGGAAAGAGCTGCATCGAGTCCATCATGGCTAATCCTGCCACGTCCTCCTGCCTGAGCATCCCCTTCCACTGGTGCCTCCTGTCACTGATGCTGGCATTGTGCATTGTAGTTGGACATCTTGTTCTTGTTCCTGGCAACCCAGTGGTGGTCAGGGGTAGGTCATTGTTGCCACGCAGGGTGCCAGGCACCTCTTAAAAAGCAGCAGGGTTCACCGTCCTATTTTGCTGCAGGACAAGCAGGATGACAGCAGGAGAGTGAAACAATTCAACATTTCCACTCTTTTTTCCAGCCTTGGACCCCTATGGAAAGCTTTTTCTTTACATCTTGCTATTTTAGAGGCTCCCTTAGAGTTGAGCTAAAATTAAAAAAAGAAAACTTTCAGATCCACTGAGCTCCTTGCAAAGGCCATATCCAAAAACCTGGACCCATTGCTGTGTGCTGGTGAAGCCGCAGTGGGGGCTGCAGCCCGGTGCTCCTCCAAGCCAGTCTCAAGCCTCTGTCCTGCCATGGATACCTGGGGATGGAGAGGATAAGCCACATGAGCCCTGGGGCAATTTTTCTTCAGTGCTGTCCTGCGAGGGTGACGCCGAGCACAGGACTGGGCTGCCTTGCTGGAGCTGGGGGTTAGAGAGTTTTGGACAAGCGTTAACAGCAACGCTCCCTGCAATGAAGAGGCCAAGGCTGAGTGGAGTTGCAGTGAGTAATCATTTCCAGCTCCCTGTGCTGCACAGCAA